ATCCTGTAAATTACTTAAATCGTTGGAGGACAGGCCTAACCAAAAAGAAGGGTGTTACAATACCGAGTGTTGATGAAATATGCATGGACCAAGAGTTGCAGTGAAAGAAAAGGTCGATATCGGCCTGATAGAAGGAATTATACGAAGATGGAAAAAGCCAGATTTGTAGATAGAAGAGATAAGCCTACTGTAAAAAATCTAAATGTTTATCAAATATATAACTCATCGAACGGAACCTGAAGGGTTGGAAATGGAACCGTTTAGTTACAGCTAATTAGTAGGGATAGGTGGCAGTGATCGATTTTGTGGTGAATGTAGACCTAGTTTTATTGACTCCTGTTCGGTAATATTTACAGTAGGCCACAAATTAAAATCGTACACTTTTTATGGAAATACATTACCCTCTATCTTAATCAAATGATGTGGACATTATAAGGGTATCTATAAAATGAAGACCGAAGACCCAGACACGAAAACCCCTAGTTTTTCTCTTTTATTTTCATGATAATACACCAAGCTGTCACAAAATCACGAATTTTTTTGAGCGTCTGTTTGTGAAATTTCCAAGGGTCTTCATTTTGTAGACACCTTATATGGGTGTCTACAAAACGAAGACCGAGGACCCGAAAAACGAAGACAGTTTTATATCATTCTCGTTGGCTCTTCGTTCGTTCCTATATTCAGCAGAGCTTTAATGTATAATGTTATTTTATTTTGTTGATTTTAAAATATTTTATGTATTTGTTTCTTACTGTGTTTTATGATAAAATTTTAAGCATTTCATTTTTATATCGAACTTTGAGATTATCTTATGTTTCGTATACGTAAGCAGGGAACAGTGTCATAAACAGTGTAATTTCACTGTTCCCTCACATAAGGATACAATAATATGGAGAGCCGCTCTGACCGTGCTTGCTCTCAGGGTAATCCTCAGGGTCAAGCCCGTAGCCAGGGGGGTTCGTTGGGTGCGAACGTACCCCCCTTTTCATGAAGTGCCCTTTCAACAAAGCCTGGTTAGCCTACACCTTTGGCCTAGCATAGAGCCTATCATCAATAAAATAAAAAAAAGTCCTACTTTAATACTCAATTGTTAGGCCTACCTAGTAATACAAAAAAGTAAATGAAAATAGGGCATTTTCAACTGTTACAACATTATTATTTAATCAGTACAACCGTGTAGGGCTAACCGCCCAAAATAGGAACAGGGCAGGGCAGCAGCAGAGCGTATCGCCGATCTTCGCTATACGATCGTCGGCCACCATATATATTACTATGGATGCAATATTTTATTGTGCAGTATGACCATTTTAGGCACCAAAACCTTGACTCAGAAATACCGGGATGGTGTCCGGCGGGGGATAGTTTCACATCTGTATATATAATAGTAATACACTACAACCAACCATACAAATCATACTAGTAAATCATTATATTATATTATACTACTGTGGATGCAATATTTTATTGTGCAGTATGATCATTCAGGCCCCGAAAACTTGACTCAGAATGGCCCCGAAAACTTGACTCAGAAATACCGGGATGGTGTCTGGCGGGGGATAGCTTCACCTGTATAATTATATATAATAATAATCGGGATAATAATACACTACAGCCAACCATAAAAATTTGTTTCGGTTCTTTTTATGTTACTGATTGTCTTGAGTACTTGAGTACTGTACAGTATGATACAACTTCCAAAGTGCTATAAGCCATACAGTACTTCTTATTTCTTAAAAAGGATAAAAATAAAGAATAAACCATAGGCCTACTGGTTTCTTTGGAGTTTGTATCATGCTACTGTAGGCTCTTGTTAATTTACCAGTAGTGTAGTACTAAACTAGTAGTGTTTTTTTTTTTTTTTGGTTTTTTTTTTTATCTTTGCCAAACTCAAAAAATTACCTCTTTAATATATACATTTTAAAAAAATGTATGGCCTCTCAAATCAATTAAATAACACTTGTAAATGTCTAGAATGCTGGAGCTTCCGGGGGCTTAGCCCCCTGGTCCCCCACCGCGCCTTTTTCCCATGGACCCCACCGGGGGACCTCGGCGGCACCCTGGCCCCCAGCCAATGGTGCTCGCTTCGCTCGCAAGTGCCCTTTTAGTATCAAAAGAACCCCCTATAAAAAATCCTGGCTACGGGCTTGAGGGTATTGTATTCTCATTGTTATGTTTTTGTTGTATTGTTTCCTGGAAATTGAATAAAATCTAAGTAAATAAATAAATAAAAACGGACTCTCTTTTAAAAAATACATTTTAATGTATTTTCCAAGAGAGGAGACGGTGTCAAAATTGGATAACCCCACTGGATCACATGGAAACAATTCGAAATTGGAGGTGGCATTTTGCAAATCATTGAATAGCAATACTCTTAGGTCATTGTTAGCACTACATTTTATAATAAAATGAAATTTATTCTCGACTTCTCCTGAATCACACAAAAAAGACGAGTCGAATGGTCGAGCGGTTAAGTCAGGGACACCGCAACCTACGGCCATAATATCGGCGCAGGTTCGAACGGCACGCTCGCCTTACCTGTGGTTCTGGTGGTGCAAGTCTTCTCGAATAAGGACTATAAACCGTATGCCCAGTGTACTTACACTTAGCTCATGTGCTTTAAAGAACCCAGATCTTTGGAGACGAGTAGGGGTTACCCTGGTGTACTGGTCCAGCTCCTGTTACCCTGCGCTTACGGACCATAGGTCATTTGCAGGATGTACCACGTAAAAACACAGGCGTTGTTCAGGGCTCAAGTTGAAAGCTGCTCCATATCTTTGCTTTCTTTAGATTAGTACTTCCCAACTGAACCTCTTTCATATGTCGCGCTATACGATGTTTGTATTACATAAACAGGATGGCTGTGATTGTTAAACCGAGTCTACGTCATCAGAATGGGATCTTAATTATATTTCAAGAATAGGCATTATTTTCCCATAGAGAATGTGTACGTACAATAGGATCTCATGGGTATTGACAAACTGCGAGGCATGCCAGGCCCGTAGGGGGGGGGGTTCTGGGCATGAGGTCAACAGTCGAAGCCCTGGTGGGGTCTGCGAAACCCAGAAAGCAAGAGGGTTTTTGTAGTTCATGGGTCTAAATAATGCTATAAAAGCATATATGTTTGAAAATGTCTGTGTCTGGGTGGGTCTGCAGTGCATTAGTTGGTTGGAGGACTTATTTGGGAAATTTAAAGAGGGGGTTTCGCCAGAAAAGAGGGGGTTTGCTAGAAAAGGGGGTTTTCCCGAACCATAAAAACCATTCATACAAGCCATCTACCCTGGTGACCACGTCAACTGCAATTCACGCGATGCAGGACGAAGTATAGCTGCATTATTGTACCAAAAGTGCGAGGCACCTTAATTTAAAACACCTACAAATCTGTAAAAGTGACAATGACAATATTTTAATATAAATTATGATGTTCATATGACCTTCTCATCGAGTAATACTAAAATCAAACCATTACCTTCAATCAAAAAGTGACTTAATTCAATCCGGTCCGATCGTATCCCTGGCTGAGTCTAATATTAGGAGTCGCGACGAGTCCTCGCCAACCTCGAAATCAAGAGGAACAGGAACGAAGATGAGGGTTGAATTAGAATAGCCGAATCGTACCCACATGCATGTTTATTAATAATAATAATTGACGTTATTGTTCTTAGAGTTATTATGATAGATTAATAAATAAATAATAAATGAATAGAATATTAAATGGGGTTATTCTATACGTTTGCCAGCGTTTACTGGTAAATGTAGTCTACTATGATTAATGTTAAAAAGTGTTTTTGAATGGCTTATAAATCCTTAATTACCAGTTCATTTATTTTAACTAGGGTAAAACATTGATAATTAATTAAATTTTTAAAATGATGTTGCTTCAATTTCATCCGTCTATAGTGACTAAGGGACAATTCGAAAAAAAAAAAAAATTAAACGCCCCATGGCGTTTATTCCTTTGGCAACCCTCGGATCTCATCTTAGGTTGTTAAACATTATTAGGCTTATTTCACCAACATTGCTCATACAGAACACTTAGGGCATTCCTTGTTCTAAGCAACAGATCGCTTGAATTAAAAATAAGAAGTCTGTTTTCAAACATCAGCAATTCCAGTTGAATCAATTCTAAGTTAAAAAAATACCGGACGAACGGGAAAATATCGGTATGCTTGAATTAATACAGATATCTACTTTGAGTCATAGTCAGAATCTCATTTCAAATCGTGGACTCTATTCCAGAGTGGAAGGACGGAGGGATAAAATGATGATTTAAAGGACTGAGTGCGTTCAAATGGGATGGAACAACAAAAGAATCAGAATCATTTAAGCGATACGATCGCCGCCTGACCTTAACTAAAGTATATGAATTAAAATTTTACAATTTTAAATAAGAACGACGGCGGCATTGTCTAATAATAAGTGTGGACTTAGCGGCG